GTATGTCTTTCTTTAGGTTGGAAAAGTCTTCTTCTATGATTTTGTTGAATATGTTTTCTGCACTTTGAGGTGGGTTTCTTCACCTTCTTCTATCCCTATTATTCTTAGGTTTGGCCTTTTCATAGTGTCCCATATTTCCTGGATATTTTGTGCTAGGGATTTGTTAGATATAAGATTTTCTTTGGTCGAAGAATCTTGTTCTCCGGTGAATCTTCAATATCTGAGATTCTTTTCTCTAACTTCTGTATTCTGTTGGTTATGCTTGTATCTGTAGTTCCTGATCATTTCCTCACCTTTTCTAATTCCAGCATTCCTTCAGACTGTGTTTTCTTATTGTCTCTATTTCATCTTTCAAACTTGGACTGTTTGAAGTGTTTCTTGCAACTTTTGATATGTCTTTTATTCCATTTCTTTAAAGCATTTTCTCATTTCTTCTTTTGGGGTCTCTATTATCTTCATGAAGTTGTTTGTTAAGTCATTACCTTCTGCTTCATCTGTGTTGTGATGTTCAGATCTTGCTGGTGTACAGTCCCTAGACTCTGATGGTATCATATTGTTTGTTTCTGTCATTGAATTTGTTCTTTATTGTCATCTTCCCATTCCTTCTTTCAATGAGTACAGGTGGGGTCTCTTCCTTTCCTGGTGGGTATGGTCCAAGATGATCTTCCGGGGTCCAATACCACTGGGTGGGTACAAATGGGCCTGAGGCATTCCATTTCCCAGTGGGTGGGAGCTCTGCCTTCTGAACTCTGCCCCCTGTCATCTTCCCTGAGTTGGGACAGGAGTACTCCGGCTGTCATTAGGCTCTGAATCACTTAACCCTCCAAGAGCAGGTTAAGTTTGCTGCAGTCCCAAGTTCATGACATCTCAGAGAGGGTGAGCAGAAGGAAGTCAAGACCAAGATGTAGATCTGGAGCTCACCTCTGTCCTTTGCCCTCAGTGCCATAGGTTTTCTTTTAAATGAAAGGAGACATGTCTGTCAAAGAAGATGATGAGCATCACAGAAACTTCCCATGGAGTTTACCTTCGTTGTGGTAATGGTGAGCCACAGGGTAAGAAAGTGACCTTGCCTCAACTGCTGACACTGCACTGTCCAAATTGGACAAACAGGCTATTAAGAAGAGTGACTGCAAGGCACTTGAGAAAGTGTTCTATATCCTTAGCCATCCGGGAAATGCAAATCAAAACAACTCTGAGATACCATCTCACTCCTGTCAGAATGGCTAAAATAAAAAACACCAATGACAATTTATGCTGGAGAGGAGGTGGTGAAAGGGGAACACTCCTCCATTGCTGGTGGGAGTGCCAAGTGGTTCAGCCACTTTGGAAATCAGTATGGAGATTCCTCAGAAAAATGGGAATAAACCTACCACAAGACCCAGCAACTCCACTCTTAGGCATATATCCAAAAGATGCCCATTCATACAACAAAGATATCTGTTCCACTATGTTCATAGCAGCATTATTTGTAATAGCCAGAACTTGGAAACAACCTAGATGCCCCTCAACCGAAGAGTAGATAGAGAAAATGTGGTACATTTACACAATGGAGTACTATTCGGCAGAAAAAAACCAATGGAATCCTGAGATTTGTAGGCAAATGGATGACACTAGAAGAAACCATCCTGAGTGAGGTAACACAGTCACAAAAAGAGAAACATGGCACGTACTCTCTTATATATGGATTTTAAACATAGATCTGGGGAGTGCCAGCCTACAATCCCATGGCCAGAGAGTCTGGGAAACAGAAACTTCATTCAGTGGCTGATGGAAGAAGAGGCAGACTCCCACGGCTAAGCACTGAGCTGAAGTCAAGAAAGCCAGTAACAGAGAGGGAGGACTGATGACCAAAGGAGTTAAGACTGGGGTGGTTTAACCCCAGAAACAGCTGACCTGACAAGGGTTAACTCTTGAATCCCAGGCTGATGCCTGAGAATCCAACATGGGACTGATCAAGACCGCTTGAATGGGGGTGTTAGTGAGGAGGCATAGGTAATCTATTGAGCCTTGGGCAGTAGATCAGTATACATCCCGAGTATACACATGGACTTTGGACTCCCATCCAACAATGTGAGATGAACTCTCATCCTGAACTCTTGTGGGGAGGGTCTAGGCCCTGCCCTGGATGAAATGACAGACTGTGGACACCCCCATGGAGGGCCTCATCCTCCCTGGGGAAATGAGGGGGAGTTGGGGGGAGGCCACGGGAGGAGGGGAGGGAAAGGGAGAGGGACTGGAACTGACTTGTGAACCAACCATGTTTCTAATCTAAATTTAAACATAAAAAATTAATAAAAAAACAAATAAAGCTGCTATGAACACACACAAACACACAAAAAGAAGAGTGACTGCAAACCTAGCCAAGACAAGGCTGTCCAGTTCATCAGATTAACCTGGTTCACAAAAATGTCTGTCAGATATGCCCCAGGTTACAGAGCAACCTTGGTTGATTGTTTAGACAGCCAGCTGTTTCTGTCATTTTTTCATATTTCTTTTGGAAGCCCCTTGCTCACACTTTCTGGTTACTCAGTTAATATTATTTTCTTCTCAGGTCTCTGAAGGAGTTGAAGACTAGATAGTATAGGTATAGTTTTCCTTGTTTACCAGACTTAGTAAAGAAACTTGCTAATGATGTGTTAAGTATAATAGGTTTGAAAGATATTAAAATATAATTTGATATTGCAAATTAGAACAGAAAGTAAACTAGACACAAGACTTTGGACTCATCAAGAAAGAATAGATTATGGAGTATTTTCTCTGAATGCTTAATGATAATGGACTAGACATTGTTAATGTACTTACTGCCTGTATATATTGTATACACTTATGGTACTTATTGCATATAGTTCTTATATCAGTTATATACTTTTGAAATAAATTTAGTCAGAAATGGCAATATGTGGTGATACCTGGCTTGTACAAATAAGCCCATGTTGAGGATCAGAGAATGGAGCTTGCCATTAGCTAACTATAGAGATCTGGAGATCTGTACAGATAGACAGGAAATGAAGTAGCTGGTCAGAAACAGGGTATAAGCAGGGAGAAACAGGAACTCAATTGCTTGTCTGCTGAGATACTAAGGAGGTAAGGTGTGGTGGTGGTTTGCTCCTTCTTTCTGATCTCTCAGCATTTTCCTCTATATCTGATTCCAGGTTTTTATTACTTAGAACAATTAAGAACTCCATTTATAGTTAATATCCAAGGATGTTATTTATAATTAAATAAATCCTAATGTCATTTCATTAATTCTATTTCTTGTTTAAGTATCTATTGCTCCTTTCTTTTTGTTTATTCTTCTTGCTAGAATTTATGGATACTACCCCTTCCAATATTGGAACAAAATACTTGTATAAAACCAAAATTTGGTTTGGGTGAAGGATTTGGTCAATGTGATGAAACATTGGCTTTTATAATCAAAGACATTCTCTGAATGATGCCTCTTAGAATACTTTGACAATTTAAAGGTGCAGCAGAATTTCAAGGCACACAAGAAGACATAGACAGATTGCATGTCCATATGCAAGACCTGCATGGGAAATCTTACAGAGATTGGTAACCTCAGGAATGGTGGTCATGGTGTTTCCATGAGAGAAGGAAACATAGATGCATGTATTCACATACTTCTCTGGGCCTTTGGGGACTAAGATTCTGATAACAAGCTATTTAAATATTTCTTGGGCTTTATGAAAGGCTAGAAGACAGATTAGTTGAACAAACTGTCTGCCTTAGCTGATGATATCATTCAAACCAATGTGGTCACCTGTTTCCCTGGAGATATGTGTAGGATCAGGATCTTATCTATCTGCTTCTCAGGGATTCTGTCAGTCAAGTAAGTTAGGCACACTGTCAAGCTACATTAGAAACCATGAGTAAGTGAATACAAAATTCGTGAAAATGATAACTATAAAATACCTATAATGTATGTAATTAGTTTATCTTAGATTCAGACTAACCTCTTGTTAAAAGTGTTCTTGCTATATGGATGACACTAGAAGAAACCATCCTGAGTGAGGTAACCCAGTCACAAAAAGAGAAACATGGCATGTACTCTCTCATATATGGATTTTAGACATAGATCTGGGGAGTGCCAGCCTACAATCCTATGGCCAGAGAGTCTGGGAAACAGAAACTTCATTTAGTGGCTGATTGAAGAAGAGGCAGACTCCCTTGGTTAAGTACTGAGCTGATCTCAAGAAAGCCAGTAACAGAGAGGGAGGACTGATGATCAAAGGGATCAAGACTGGGCTGGTTTAACCCCCAGAAACAGCTGACCAGACAAAGGTTAACTCTTGAATCCCAGGCATCAGCCTGGGAATCCAGCATGGGACTGATCTAGACCCCCTGAATCTGGATGTCAGTGAGGAGGCCTAGGGAATCTATTGAGCCCTGGGCAGCAGATCAGTACCCATCCCAAATATACACATGGACTTTGGACTCCCATAGAACAATGTGAGGTGCACTCTCACCCTGAACTCTTGGGGAAGGGTCTAGGCCCTGCCCTATATGAAATGACAGACTATGGACACCCCCATGGAGGGCCTCACCCTCCCTGGGGGAATGAGGGGATAACACGGGGGGGATTGGGGGAGGGCACGGGAGGAGGGGAGGGAATGGGAGAGGGACCTGGAACTGACTTGCGAAGCAACCTCGTTTCTTATCTAAATTTAAACTGGAAAATAAAAGAAAAAAATCATTAAAAAAAAGTGTTCTTGCTACTATTAAAATATCTTAGAAACAGTAGTTTTGCAAACAGGTCATTGACTCCTAAGTTTGCTTCATTACAAAACATGTTATATTAAACAGTTGTATGCAAATATGAAATAATTAATATTTGCTTTTACTATCTCCATTCAGCTCACAAGTTCAATGTGGTCATTTAGTATATTTGCTTTGACCAAATCAGGTTATATTTTAACTCAAGGCTTTTTTTCTTCTTACATATGAGGATAAGCACCCACAGTAGGGGACACACTGTGAATAGAGGACTTTGATTTTCCAGGATGCCTGTACAGTGGATGTCTCTTCTGCTGCTCCTACTGCAGATGACTTGCTACTTCAGATCTGGGAATTGTGGGAAGGTGTTGGTGTGGCCAATGGAATACAGTCACTGGCTGAATCTAAAAACAATACTGGATGAACTTACACAGAGGGGTCATGAAGTCACAGTTCTGAGACCTTCAGCTTCTATCTTTCTTGATCCCCAAAAGTCACCTGACCTGAAGTTTGAGAGTTATCCTACATCTCTCAGTAAAGATGACCTAGATATGGTTTTCCAAAGACTTGTGAATGTATGGATTTATGAGATGCCAACAGATACATGTTTATCATACTCGCCTTTGCTAGAAAATTTGTTTGAAGAATATTCTGACAGTTATCTAAGTCTTTGTAAAGACACAGTTTCAAACAAACAGCTGATGACAAAACTACAGAAATCCAAGTTTGATGTCCTTGTCTCGGATGCCGTTGCTCCCTGTGGGGAGCTGATAGCTGAACTGCTCCACATCCCTTTTCTGTACACTCTTAGAGGTTCTCCTGGCTATGAAGTGGAAAAGAATAGTGGAGGATTTATAGTTCCTCCCTCGTATGTACCTATAATTTTGTCAGGATTAGGGGGTCAAATGACATTTATGGAGAGGGTAAGAAATATGATATGTATGCTTTTTTTTTTTTTTTTTTTTTTTTTTTTTAATCATTTTTTATTTTAATTTTAAATAGCTTGTTTCACATGTCAATCCCAGTTCCCTCTCCCTCCCCTCCTCCCGCACTCCCCTTCCACCCTCCCTCCCACCCTATTGCCAAATCCCTCCACATAGGGGATGTCTAAAGTCTATCATTTCACTCTTGGTAGGGTCAAGGCACTCCCCTAAGAGTCCAGGCTGAGAGAGCATCTCTCTTTGTGCCATAGGCACATGAAGACAGATTGTATACCAGGGATAGACACTGATCCACAGCTCAGAGCCCCATAGGTTGCCCAGGCCTTCTCACTGACACTCACATTTGGGGGGTCCAGATCAGTCCCATTCTGGCCTCCCCACTGTCGGTCTGGGGTCCAAGAGCACTCCCCTGTTCAGATCAGCCGTCTCTGCTGGTTTTGCCAGCCCATTCCTTGCCAATTTGCTCATCACTCCTCTCTCTCTGTCACTGGGTTCCTTGGGTTCAGTTCAGTGCTTAGTTGTGTGTTTGCCTCTGCTTCCATCAGTCCCAGGATGAAGGCTCCCGGATAGTTATAGACATCAAGTTCATTATCAGGAATGGGCATTCGAGGTGGTCCTTCCACTATTGCTTAGCTTGCCAATTGATGTTATACCTTTAGATCACTCGAGGTCACTCTGGTGCCTGATCTGTCTTCGATCCTATGATTCCCTCTTCCCCCTATTTTACCCCCACCCCCTCAACTTCCTGTTCCCCCATGACCAACTCCCTTCCTCTTTACCCCCTCTACTCTTCCCAGGTCCCACTACCCCCCTCGCCCTGTTCCCCATCCATTCAGAGGATCTTGTCTCCATCCTCTTCTCTTGGGTACTATGCATATATGCATATCTTTTAGGTTCTTTCCTGTTTCCCAGACTCTCTATCTGTGGAAGTGCAGACTGGCACTATCCTGATCCATATTTAAAATCCATATATGAGTGAGTACATACCATGTTTGTCTTTTTGCGACTGGGTTACCTCACTCAGGATGGTTTCTTCCAGTGCTATCCATTTCCCTGCGAATTTCAAGATTCCATTGTTTTTTTCTGCTGAGTAATACTCCATTGTGTAAATGTACCACATTTTCTCTATCCACTCTTCAGTTGAGGGGCATCTAGGTTGCTTCCAGGTTCTGGCTATTACAAACAATGCTGCTATGAACATAGTGGAGCAGATGCCCTTGTTGTATGAACCTGCCTCATTTGGATAAATGCCTAAGAGTGGAATTGCTGGGTCTAGTGGTAGATTAATTCCCATTTTCCTGAGGAATCTCCATACTGATTTCCAAAGAGGCTGTATGAGTCGGCATTCCCACCAGCAATGGAGGAGTGATCCTCTCTCTGCACATCCTCTCCAGCATAAATTGTCTTCGGTGTTTTTGATTCTAGCCATTCTGACAGGAGTAAGATGGTATCTCAGAGTTGTTTTGATTTGCATTTCCCTGATGGCTAAGGATGTTGAGCACTTTCTTAAGTGTCTCTTGGCCATTTTAGCCTCCTCTACTGAGAATTCTCTATTTAGCTCTGTACCCCACCTTTCAAGTGGATCCTTTGGTGTTTTGGAGACTTGTTTCTTGAGTTCTTTGTAAATTTTGGAGATTAGCCCTCTGTCAGATGTAGGGTTAGTGAATATCTTTTCCCATTCTGTGGCCTGCCTTTTTGTCTTTTTGATTGTGTCCTTTGCCTTACAAAAGCTTTTTAGTTTCAGAAGGTCCCATTTGTTAATTGTTGATCTCAGTGCCTGTGCCACTGGTGTTATGTTTAGGAAGTGGTCTCCTGTACCAACTCGTTGAAGAGTATCTCCCACTTTCTGTTCTAAAAGTTTCAGTGTGGCTGGATGTATGTTGAGATCTTTGATCCATTTGGACTTAAGTTTTGTACAAGGCGATAAACATGGATCTATCTGCAGTCTTCTGCATACCATTACCCAGTTATGCCAGCACCATTTGTTGAAGATGCTTTCTTTTTTCCACTGTACAGTTTTAGCTTCTTTGTCAAAAATCAGGTGTTCATAGGTGTGTGGGTTAAAATTAGGGCTTTCGATTCGGTTCCATTGGTCTACCTGCCTATTTTTGTGCCAATACCAAGCTGTTTTCAGGACTATAGCTCTATAATAGAGCTTGAAATCAGGTATGGTGATGCCTCCTGAAGTTCCTTTATTGTATAGGGATGTTTTGGCTATCCTGGGCCTTTTGTTTTTCCATATAAAGTTGATTAATGATCTTTCCAGGTCCTTGAAGAATTGTGATGGAATTTTGATAGGGATTGCATTGAATCTATAGACTGCTTTTGGCAAGATTGCCATTTTTATTATGTTGATCCTACCAATCCAAGAGCATGGGAGATCTTTCCATTTTCTGGTATCTTCTTTGATTTCTTTCTTCAAAGACACAAAGTTTTTGATATACAGGTCTTTCACTTCCTTGGTTAACATTATCCCCAGATATTTGATGCTGTTTTTGGCTATTGTAAAAGGTGATGTTTCTCTGATTTCTTTCTCAGTCACTTCATCATCTGTATATAATAGGGCCACTGACTTTTTTGAGTTTACCTTGTATCCTGCCACTTTGCTGAAGCTGTTTATCAGCTCTAGGAGTAACCTTGCGGAGTTTTTGGGTCACTTATGTAAACTATCATATCATCTGCAAATAATGAAAGTTTGACTTCTTCTTTTCCTATTTGTATCCCCTTTATCTCCTTTTGTTGTCTTATCGCTGTAGCTAGAACTTCAAGTACAATATTGAAGAGATATGGAGAGAGTGGACAGCCTTGTCTTGTTCATGATTTTAGAGGAATTGCTTTGAGTTTCTCTCCATTTAGTTTGATGTTAGCTGTTGGTTTACTGTATATTGCTTTTATTATGTTCAGGTACGTTCCTGTTATCCCTGATCTCTCTAGGACCTTTATCATGAAGGGGTGCTGGATTTTGTCAAAGGCTTTTTCAGCATCTAGTGAGATGATCATGTGGTTTTTCTTTCGCAGATTGTTAATATGGTGGATTACATTGATAAAAAAAAAACATGACGTTAAAAAGTGCAGATTGATGCACTTGCACCCAAGCTTCTGTAGTGTTTAAACAATGCATGCCAGGAAATACACAATAAAGGAATGTAGTGTTAGTAACAGCAGCAGTTCCAAGTTTAAACCTGTGAACTAACATAGTGTCTTTCATGCGCAAGGGAATTCTTCAGGAAATACTTTATGATTTATCTTTTCATTTATATGTGTGTCTATGTGAGTATATGCTAAGTTTATTCTGGTCACCACCCGCCCATCACCCATCCCCCTCCATCTTCGGGGCCGCTCCCGGCTTCCAGAAGAGCCGCCCACACAGGAAAGAGATCAGCTCCCCAAGACCCCAACCCAGCGAGTCCAGCTTCAGGTGAGATTGGGTCTCTGGCTGGGACCACCCGCCCACCACCCATCCTTCAGGGATCCTCCCCAGGACCCCAATACAACACACACACACACACACACACACACATGCATGAACATGCACCACACATACATAAACACACACACTTGCATGTACATGCACACACATGCACATAAGGACACTCTCATAAGCACATGCACATAAGCACACATGAGCTAGTTCACACACACATACACAATGTCACATGTGCACACATGCATGCACACATATAAACACATGAAAAAAGATGAAGAAATTAAGTCAATTAAACTCATAACTTCAGAAACTATCAATTGTCAAAAGGTTAAGACTAACATGTATCTGAGGTAATTGTTTGATATCCAGAGAAACAACACTGATGTAGTTTCACTCCAACCAGTAAATTGTGGAGGTCATCTCTGAAAATACATAATTTATAGACAATATCAGAAAATTATTGTATGATATGTTTGCCATGCAGTTATGATTTTTTCACAAAGAACCATAGTAGGAAGTTTGTGTTAACTACTACATATGTACACACTACAATATAAATATTATTTCATCAAAAACTAGTTAGTAATATTAAATCAGTCATAATAGGAGAAAAATAAAATAGCATGGGAAAAATATCATTTTCTGTAGGATGAAAACACGCAAATGAAGCTACAATTTTATGAATATTTCATATAATTTGCTTGCACTCCTGAGTTTTGATTTTCCTGGAGGGAAATATTCAAAATGTTTGTTACACAATGTGTGAGTTCACATCGTAGTGATGCCTGTGAAGTTCAAAGTTTTTTACTTTGTTGCTTTTGTCTTCTTCATGTTTTATTACCACTGTTCTAAAAATTCCTAGGAACCCTTTAATTCTATTCTCCTAGTTTTTTTATAAAGGTATAACAAGTGATTTTTCAGTAATTGGTATTTTGTCATGAAGCAAATTCTCTTCACAGGAAATGGAAGACTTTGTCCAGAGTTCTGGAGAGCATGGTGTTGTGGTGTTTTCTCTGGGGTCAATGGTCAGCAACATGACAGAAGAAATGGCCAACACAGTTGCATGGGCCCTTGCCCAGATTCCACAAAAGGTGAGATAAAGTGCTCATTGGGAGGTGACTGTACACTAAGTCTGTGAATGTGCTTGAAAGGTCTGATTATGTAAATCGTTGTGTGAAATGAAAAGTTTTAAGTAGCTCAAATTAGTCTCAGCAAATTTAGAAACATATTCACAACAGATGCTACAATACTACCGAAGGTGTTTTCAACTGAGAGTGACTTGGATATAAACACTGTGATCACTGTGCACACATTCTAAAATGCTGGCGTGATGATGACATTGCTATCAAGAGTATATAGACATAACCAAATTATTCAGTGTCCCTTTTTTGTTGATTATTTAAAGTAACTGCATATATTAGTTTTCAGGGGGTAATTTAATATTTGTAGCAGAATACCAGTAAGCATGTATTGAAAATGTTTGAAATGTAGCATGACTCTGCATCCTAATTTTGGAGTAGCCCTGTACAATGCAGTGAGAGGGCCATTTAAAGTAAGTGAGTCCAAGGTTCACCACTCTCAACCAAAGTACAATTTGGGCTGATTGAGAGAAAGAGAAGTAAAAGAAAAACTATGTTCTGGACTGCCTTGCCAATGTTTGTGTAAGAAATGTATAAAGGAAATGCAGAGATGGGTGCTTCCCTGACCGTGATGTCTGTGCATCATGAATGAGGAAACACGGGGCTTACTTGGAACCAGTCAGAGTGAAAGTCCTACCACTCAAAAGAAGAAATGTGAAAATAAAAAAGAGTCCAAAGGAACCTAAAGTTGAAAGTGACTAAACATAAAGTTTCAGGTGACTGCATCAGCATACTAGAAATAATTTCTGTGGATTAGATTAGAATGCTTGTGAACATTTGTAAATTTTGTAGTGGGACACTCTCTCTTTTGTCACTTCCTTTAATTTTCTGATCCTATAGTTAATTTTATCAGTCATTCAGAAAATCTATGTAGATAATGGTCTATTTAGCACCTACCATAGGCCTGGACTTGGACATGGTTTTTCTGTGTCAGAACATTGTGACATCTGCAGTAAAATCTTTGCAGTTTCTTATAAGACCTACATGCCAATCAGTAGGACATAAAATAATGTCATTAGATCTGGGGAAAATTTCAAAAACCACTTGTGGATAGCAAGGTATTTACAATAGACTGCTAATAATCCTTACAGTGATTAATATACTCATCAAATGAGTTCCAATCCAGCTCCTAGATGTGGTAATAATTTTAGAACTCCCTGACAACCCTCATAAAAAGAAGCATTTACTACATGTGAACATCTATTTGCCACATTTAATGAATTTCCAAGCTAGAGAAATGGCTCAGTATGTTAAACATTTTCAGTGCAGTGTGATCAGCTCAGTTTGAATCCCCCCAAACCACATCAAGTCAGGCAGGGTATTACACGTGTTTGTAATGCCAGCACTCCTATGAGAGATGGAAGGCAGAAATAGGAAAATCCTGTGGGCCAGGATCAGAAGAAAATAATCAAACAAACAAATATGAAACTCTGTCTCCAACTAGAGAGACATCACAAGAAATATCTGTAATCCTCACCATTGTACAAATTAACCTTGGGACGCTTAAACATGCATTCACATACATGAATTGGCTCATATATCTTCCAACACATAAAGAACACCCAACAAAAGAGAGAGAGAGAATTAGACAGAGATGGAGGAAGAAATTTCAAGTCTCAAAACTATTATAATGTGATTAACGTTCAAAATTCTATATGCAATGTTGCTTGCCCTTAGTGACTAGAGATCTTTACATCTTCATTAAGATTACCAGACTCCTAAAACAAAATTATTTTCTCATGAAAAGACAATGATTGCATAGATTTGAATTCATGTGAATAAAATATCAAACTTGTGCAACCAAAACCAGACAAAATCTAAGCAGGGGGATGGGAGTTGGGTACACAATCCCACCTAAAGCTAAGGAACTACTAACAATGATTAGCTTGTGAGAGGGAAAGACTGTACATCCTTGTAAGCTAATCAGTCTCTCCTGGCAGACCACACATCCAAGAATATTTAGAGTGCATAAATTGGTCTTCAATGATTGTTTTTTAAAGGAACTGGAAAGAGCTAAGAACCATTTTAACAATTATATGACAATCATATGGAAAGTATGGCACATCATTGTTCCAGTAAAAAGATACTAATAACTACATAGAGCAGTAGGTCCACATGAAGCACAAGCCTTCATAAAATCTTTCATTATATCCATGTCTAGTCCCGGGTAAATATTCTGATTTTATTGCAATTTCGCTGGAAGTAGTAAGCTCAGTTCAGGAAGCCATGGAGGAATTTGTCAATGCATTCCTTTTCCCTGCCATGCCTTAGTTTCTCTAGGTAGTAAAGTTAGCTTTTTCATAGGATCTCCTAAATCCTCATCAAAAAGTAGAGATAACTCAACTTTAGATTATCAGATTCTTCACACCATGCTTCAGGATTGTCTTTAGGCAAAACAAGCAACATATTTAAAGAAGTTTTCAGTAAGGGAGCTAGGGGAGACATCACCTGCATAGTTACCCAGGGTGCTGTTTTTACTATTGATTTTATCTACAGTGGAAAAGTCCTCTCTCATTTTTTGCATACTTTACCAATTTTACGATGTGATCATCTAGTTTATATTCATGCAAGGAACTAACCATATATTTCTCATGATTAATAATCTTTTTATCTTCCTTAAATGTTTTATTAATAGTTCAAATAAATGCCCAAGTGACCCAAAATTGAATGGGGATCTCTTCCCTTTATTTATATGCCTTTTCAATATTCATTCAGACTTTGTTCCATACTTCACCTAAAGTGTCTTCTTCTGAAAACTAGGGATTATGTTCACAAGCCATTTGTATGATTTTGATACTTGTCCTCCTTTTTTTATAAAAAGAAAAAGGGTGCACAAGCCTTGATATAAGTCAAATCTTCCCTGGTTTCTGCCCCATTATTCTCAATCACCTCCTTCTGTGAGGCTTCCCACTCTCCTATTGTGTAGACAACTTCAGTTCTCTGTTCAGGAGCTTCTTGTTAAACCTCCAGAGAAAATGGATCTTAGGAGAATGGAGCCAATAAATGAGGCATAAACTGTAAGACATTTAAAATATAATATTAAAACTATACTAATAGAACTATCAAGATACAATAATATAAAGTATAAAATATTACTAATGTGCCACTCTTTATTTTCATTCCTCCCTCCAAATCCCCTCATATCCATGCTGTCTTTCAAATTCATAGCATCTACTTTTTCATTAATATAACCTGTTCAGCCTTAATAATACTAAATTGGGCTCCAGCAATAAAAATTATCTAATCTTTAACAGGTTATTTGGAGATTTGATGGCAAAACACCAGACACCTTAGGACCCAATACTAGAGTCTACAAATGGCTCCCTCAGAACGACATTCTAGGTAAGACTCCAGAAAGCAAACCTATCCTAATTGACTCCAAATCTTTATGTTGCACTTAGTAAATGTATTTTTTATTTAAGAAAACAATTTGTGATATACACTTGATCTTCTTAAACACTCATTTTCCCTTATCTACCATGTACTCCATGTGTTCAACTAGAAATCAATATTTCGTAATTTAAATCTCAAGTCACAAGTAAATTTGCAAGATATCTGACTTTACATTTAGTTTCTTCTTGCTCTGAGACAGGAAAATAATAATACTGAGGTTAGGGGTACAAGAATCTTCATGTAGTTTTTCTTGTGATAAATATGGAAGGCAAACTGCAGTAATGATGTAAACTAAATTAATAAACCTAATTATTAACAAAATAATCTTGATATAGAAAAACAACCTTTAAGTTCCTCATAGTACACATTTCTCATTTCCTGTCTAAGACTGCCATGGGACCTCTGGAAGTAAATCAGTATTTATCCCTAGTATGCAAATGAATTTTGAGAGCCCATTCCATATAGAGTAATACTCTCTTATATTAGACACACAGGGGAGAGCCTAAGCCTTGCTTCAAATGATGTAACTGACTTTGAAGATCCCACATGAAGGCTTCACCCTCCCTGCAGAGCAGAAATAGTATAGAATAGGGGGTCAGTGGGGGGGGGAGGGAAGGGGAGGAGGGGAGGGAGTTGGAACTGGAATTGACATGTAAAACAAATGTGTTTCTAATTTAAAGAAAATATGAAGGTAAAAATACGGGCTGCCAATTAATATTAATCTGAATTCATCTTATTCTAGGTCATCCAAAAACCAAAGCATTTGTAACTCATGGTGGAGCTAATGGCATCTATGAGGCAATTCATTTTGGAATCCCTATGATTGGCATTCCTTTGTTTGGAGAACAACATGATAACATTGCCTACATGGTGGCCAAAGGAGCAGCTGTTGCAGTAAATTTCAGAACAATGACAAGATTAGATTTGCTCAACGCACTGGAGACAGTCATAGATAATCCTTTGTGAGTATAAACTTTTAAAAATGTGTATTATTTATTTATTTATTTGGTAGTCATTGTCCTTACTGAAGGCTAAAAGAGCAAGAATTATACTGAAGGCAAAAATAATTGTAGGTACAGAGACAGATTAGAGCATGATTCAGTGTCAAGAGTTTTTCTCTCTTTTTGTCTTTGTTTTAATTTGCATGTTACACTTTATGTTACTTTCTTATGTAAATCAAACAGGTTCTACATATGCAACCCTTCTACTTCATCCTCCAAACTATTTGGCCAACAGACATACGCCAAGAGCCCTCATCAATTTTTCTGTTCAAGTCTTTACTAAAATAACTGATCAGAGTTTTAAGGATAATGGAAAACCTAAATAGCCAATAAGTGAAATAAAATTAAATGTTATTTGTGGTAACAAATGTATTATACCTAGAAGCTATAGGAAAACATTAGAAAAGAGAAAGAGGAATGTTATAAAAGAGATATGTAACTTTTATGGAAGTTGTAACTTTCTGCATTGAAATAGCATAGCTATTAACATAAAAGTAAGTATATGGCTAAATGTTGAAATATGCCATCTGTTTTATGATATTTTCAAATAGTGAAAACATATTAGAGTGAAGCAAATGAATATACCCATCATTATTTTTCTTTGTTTAAAAAAATCCATGTGGAAGCTTTTTCCTGGAAAAGACTATTTCTTTCCTACTCTGAGCATTACTTGAGACCCTATAATAATTTTGTGTAGAGTTGGTACCAGAGTGAGATTGACCTCTTAACATGTTAGCATGACTATTGCTGTCATCCTTATTCAGATCTTGTTTAAGGACCTATGTTGTTGAGAATGACTATTGGCGAAACCATTTTTTTTTGGTTTTATGAGACAGGGTTTCTCTGTATTGTTTTGGAGGCTGTCGGTCCAGCCAGGCCTCAAACTCACAGAGATCCGCCTGCCTCTGCCTCCCAAGTGCTGGGATTAAAGGCGTGTGCCACCACTGCCCGGCAGGCAAAACCATTTTTAAAGATCTTGTTTAAATATCCATATTGCTGACACCTCATGAGTATAGGCTATCAAAGATGCAACTTCACCGCAGATATCTTGGCCCTCTCTGACTATTAAAATCTTTCAATCTTCTCTTCTATGATGTATCATGAATGCAATTTTTCAAGTAAGGGGCTTTCAAATCAAATCCAGCTCAAAGGTTCCTGAACTCTGCTTCTGAATTGCATGCTCTTTCAGCAATAGAAAGTTACCTTCCATCTCTAGAGAATAAGCAGCATCAATAGGCTATACAGTTTGGGAGTCTCTTTGACAGATGTGGCCAACGTCTTAAAAGAGTGTTTCTCATGTCTTGTGTTGGGTTTTATGTTAGGTGATCTTTGTGTCTTAGATGGAGCTCTATCAGTCCAGATGAGAAAAGATAATTAACTAGATATGTATATTCATATGTGAAGTTGCATGTGTTATGGGGAATTTGAATAAATTATTAATAGCACATTTTTATGGCTTTTTCTGACATCCTTATATTTACTTTATTATTTTCTGTCCTTTGGTATTAACCCTTGTGTCCCTTCCCTAAAGAGCCTTTCTCTTCCCATTTCCCTATCAGATTATTCAAAAAAATGCAATATGCATACTAAGAACTGAGGATTATTTAATGAGAAGGAATATGAAATTCTCTCATTTTGCTTTTTAAATAGTAAGACAGTTAGTTACCATTATAATAATTGCTGCTTCTGCTATATCAAACTGACATTAGGGTTGATGACTCATGTCTCTATGTTAACTCTATGTTACACTCATCAATAATTATTTCAGTATTAGTATTAAATATACCTATAATACTTCAGTGTGGAATTTTTACAAATCTTCCTTCTACAGTTACAATGATAACAAAAAATGAATATCAACAAACACAGCAAGAATTAGGCTTTAAAGATGACTGAGTCGCTAAGGTAAAGGCTACTTTAGCAGAGGACAAATGTTCTGTTCCCAATACCCATGCCAGTGGTTACCAACATCTGTAACTCTAACTCCAGCAAATCTCATAATGCATACACACACACACAGGACACACATATGTATTTATGCACACATGCATATTTAAAAATAATAGCAAAATTGTATTTTGAATCTAATTTTCAATAAGAATAGATAAGAAAAACCCCAGTACAATAATAGAGAAGAAAGCTACCCTTCTTATCAGTTTCACTGAGTAGGTGATAACCTACATGGAAATACAATAAAGCAATGGGAAATAGATATTATAGCTAATTAATAAGAAACAGGACACTTTTGTAATTATAAACACTACTCATAGACAGTGCACCATAGAAATCTAATTTCATTCTTCATCAGCTTTACACAGATATGAGGGATTTGCCTTCTACTTATATATCCTGACACTTCTGACACTAGTATATGCTTTGAAAACAAAGTTTAATAAAAATTGCATATGGGTAACTGAAAATTCATATACTCAATGTCTCATTTTGATATTTTTGTTTTAAAAGCTTAGCTGTCTTCAAACACTACTTTATGTATATTTTATCTTCCCATTTTCTTTTTCGATGCTTATTCTTGCATACTCAAGGAGCTCAGATATACCTCTGAAGATGTTCCTAGTCATGAACATAAAACATAATTAATTTTCCTTCTATGTGTAATTTTCTTTACTATCTACACAAAAATTACACATGTGCATTTTTCATTCATTATATAAGCTGATGTCCATTTTACTTCTTTCAGCTATAAAGAGAATGCTATGTGGTTGTCAACCATTCACAATGACCAGCCCATGAAGCCTCTGGACAGAGCCATCTTCTGGATTGAATTTGTCATGCGCCACAAAGGAGCCAAGCACCTGAGGCCACTTGCATACAACCTCACCTGGTACCAGTACTACTCTCTGGATGTGCTTGGATTCATACTGGCCTGTGTGACAGTCATAGTTTTCCTTGCCATAAAATCCTGCTTATTCATTTATCAAAAGTTTGTAAAGATGGGAAAGAAAATGAAGAATGACTAGAGCTCATTAATAATGTACTACATAAACTAAATTTCAGCATCATTCTAATTTATGAACTGCCTTCTAAACATTCACTGATTACTTAATCAAGGAATATCTTCTTTGGATGGAGGAAAGGGAAGGGAGAATAATGGAATTATGTTACAATCTAAAAAAAGATATAATTAAAGAAAAAGTCTAAGCTAGCTGTAAGGAACAATCTAGTAAAAAGAGTTCCTCCACGGTATCTGCATCAGTCCTGTCTCCAGATTCCTGCCTTTAACTCCAGACCTATTTTTCCTCAGTAGCCTACAGAGAGCTATGGTATGAAATAAACCTTCATCTTAATCAAATAAAAATGAAAATTTTACAAACTAAACAAAGGAGTGAACAGGACATGGGTCAGAGCAAGCACAACTATGATGAGCAAATATGTGTTGGAGAAATTAAGAGTAAAAGTAAAAGATAAAATCAAAGCCAGTCATAAAATCTATTATAGCACCAAAGTACAGATCATATTTTAGGAAACTGTAAGATAGTGTGTCCTAAAACCATAATCTGTGGCCATTTAATCAAGTTAAGTACGTTATAAAGGATGAAAGTGTTTTGATTTAATATTGGACGTTGCATTTTAACATAGATTTTGAAAGTAAACAAGCTATTAGGCTGGTGTGTCTACAGCTAACTGATGAATTTTTTTGGATCATGTTAATAGATACTAACATTTAGATTACCACCCTAGTGGTGTGATAATATTTATTACCTGCAGCATAACACCACTATTTATTGCTTTGTGTTTCTGATTAGAGCTCACAATTCTGAGAAGTCAAATGGAATTAATGTCTGACTGCATGTCTATGAGAAGTTGGCCTTAGGATATGATGAATCTATTGCTTCTATTCTATGCTCTTTTATATATGCAAATTCTCTCTGGTAACTCTGGTAATTCACTCAACTGAGCTGAAAATTTAATACCAGTTAGCATTATTTCAGATATTCTTCTCCCTCCCTCTCCTTCTCCCTCTCCTACTCCCACTCCCCTACCTCTTTCTCCCTCTACCTATTCTCTGTTCCCTCCCTGTGTCCCGCCCTCTCCCTCTTCTCTCCTCTCCCCTCTCTGACCCCTCTCACTCTCTCTCTATCTCTCTCTATCTATCTCTTTCTTTCTCTTGCTGCAGACACCTGTAAATTACAAAATATAAACTCAATGGCTTCCTTTCTTTTGATGCTTATAGGTGCACTGTTAACTCTTCAGTACTCAGGAAGAGCCTCCCTCCACTTAATGACTTCTAATAAGATCTTGAATTTATACAACGTCATCTCTATTACTAGTATAAATGAATGGTCAATGTTGCTTTCCCCTTTGAGTTCAGAGAAAATCTACATATTTCAGTGACCATTTATACATTATCAAAATAAGGAATGTAATTTTAAAAGAGTTCATTTCTATTAAAATATATATAGTGTTCTCTTTATATGTCTTATTGTATGTCTTTCTTTATTTACAACAAATAAAATAAGACCTAAAATTCCTGATCTTGTCCCATAACTCTATAGGGGCAACTTACAGTTACCCCATAAAGATTATTGACATTGGAAATGATTTCATTTTTTACAATTTACAAAAAAATCAGCCCAACCAAAATTTGGGGGATGTTCACCAAAGAAAAGAATAGAAGTGACTCCAAGATAGTGCAATATCTAGTATTTGTACTTCTCATAGCCTTTCATATCAGATGGCCATATTCTCATTACTTGAGATTTGGACTGGTGAGTTATGTACAAAGATTAGAACTCATGTGAACAATAGCTATGGTTATGTCCCATACTGTTGGCCTATACAGCCATACTATGCTTACAGATCATGTAGATACCATGACATATTATACATTATCAGGAAACATGAGCCATGGCAAAGTATTGACTAAAAGATATGGCAAATTTTTGCACTATCTCTCCAATATCATCAGCAACACCATAACCGAAAATCATGTTGGCTACCTAGGATTAATACTGATCTTCTTCCTTACTAGAAAGAAGGTTTATGGCTTTTTGAAATATTTCAGATATGATATAGAAAGAACCCAGGATGATATTTCTTTGGAAGATCTGTATAAAAATGAAAAACACCAAAGGACCCAATTAAAAAGTGTGCTACAGAACTAAATAGAGAATTCTCAACAGAAAAGTCTAAAATGCCTGAGAGACACTTAAGAAACTGCTCAACATCCTTAGCCATTAGGGAAATGCAGATAAAAACAACCCTGAGATACAATCTCACTCCTGTCAGAATGGCTAAAATAAAAAACACCAATGACAGCTTATGCTGGAGAGGATATGGAGATAGGGAACACTCATCCATTGCTGGTGGGAGTGCAAACTTGTACAGCCACTTTGGAAATCAGTATGGAGATTCTTTAGGAAAATGGGAATCAGTCTACAACAAGACCCAGCAATTCCACTCTTAGTCATATACCCAAAAGATGCCCATTCATACAACAAGCATGTGTGTTTCATTATGTTCATAGCTTCCTTATTTGTAATAGCTAGATCCTGGAAGCAACTTAGATGCCAATCAACTGAAGAATGGGTAGAGAAAATGTGGTATATTGACACAATGGAGTACCACTCACCAGAAAAAAACAATGGAATCTTGAAATTGGCAGGCAAATGGATAGCACTAGAAGAAACCATCCTGAGTGAGGTAACCTGGTCACAAAGGACAAACATGGTATGTACTCACTCACATATGGACTTTAGACATGGATCAGGGCAATGTCATCCTACAATCCCATGGCCAGTGAGTCTGGGAAACAGGGAGTGTCCCCAGAGATACGCATTACACCTCAGAGAAGTGGAAAGAGGCAAGATCTCCTGAGCAGATAGGGAACATGGGGGAGAGGTGAGGAACCACGAAAAAGAGGACAGGATAAGAGGAGGGTAGAAGAAGACATGGGGGAGCAGGAAGGTTGAGTCAGTGGAAGAATAGAGGAGAGCAGGATGAGAGATACCATAATAGTTGGAGTCATTATAGTTTTGAGGAGAGAGCTGATACTAGTGAAATTTTCAGAGAGCTACAAGGATAACTCCAATTGGAAATCTAAATAATAGTGGAGAGACTACATTAATAGACCTTAAGTGACATCCTAGAACCTTCATCCAGTGACTTACGGAAGCAGAAACAGATACTCACAGCTAAACACTGAACATACCCCGAGAACCCAGTGACAGAGATGTAGGAGTGATGAGCAAAGGGGTCAAGACTATGCTGGTGAAACCCACAAAGACAGCTGACTGGACAAGGGGGAGTTCTTGAACCCCAGACCGATGGCTAAGAGGCCAACAGGGGACTGATCCAGACTCCATAAATGTAGTGTCAGTGAAGAGGCCTCAGAAATCTCTGAGGCCTTGAGTAGTAGATCAGTGTTCACCATGGCATACAAATGAAACTTGGGAGCCCATTCCACATGGAGGGATGCTCTCTTAGCTTGGACACATGGGGAAGGGCCTAGGTCCTGCCCTAGATAAAATAATAGACTCTGTAGACTCTGAAGATGCCACCAAGGAGGGCCTCACCCTCCCTGGGGAATGATGTGGGGATTGGGCTGGAGGTAGGGGGGTCGGGGTGGGCCTGGTAAAGGGACAAGGGGGAAGCTGGGATTGACATTTGAAGCACGCATGTTTCTAATTTAAATATAAAAGAAAAATAAAAAATGCAACAGTTTAAACAAATGTTTAAATAATTGCTAAAACTGGGAAATTATAATATCTTCAAATTTTCACTATTTTCTTTGTATTCAGACATGGTTTAATATGGTTAAGGGTCTTATTAGCATGCATAACAGAAACACACATCTTATTAAGAAAAGACAAAGACATTATTTGTGGGGATCAAATGAATTCCACAATGAATTGTGTTATTGACATGAGAATGTCACAGTGCCAAGAAATGTATCTAATGCAAAACAAAAATGATACCAAGAAGTAAAGCTATTGCTGTGATAAGTCTGAGCATAAGTGTTTAGAAATGATTTGCATAAGGAATATGGAGGGATGAGTGAACATATTTATTAAGTTATTTTACAAGGGATTCTACTGAGTGAAAATTGAGTATGTTTCCCATGTGCTTCTCAGTATTATAAATATACACACAGGGGTAGTTAATAAGATTATAAAGCAGGGTGAACCAAGATACAGGGAACATGAGCAAGTTCGCAATCTATCTTCTTATAAAACATCTTAAGATGATGTATGTGGGAGGATCTGGTGATAGAGGAAAAACTATGTTCTGTGTTGTTTTATTCTGGTAAAAAGCAATTGCTAACTGTGAAGCTCACCAAACCAGCTGCTGAGATTCTGAGAAACAGGGTCTTCTCCCATCCAGATCATGACAAGAAGCTACCAGGAGACTCCTGCTTACTGTCTTCATGCCAAGTTAAGTTCAGTGTGGTTTTCTGAGCCAAGACTGTAGATTCCTTGTTGTTCTCACTTTCCATTTATAAGACCATTGTGTTGTTGTTTGAGAGTTTGAGACATGTATATAACGTGTACTGATGAAACACTAGCTCTCCCCTCCCCTCCAATTTTCCAACTCCCCCACACTGCTTTTAACTCCCAACTTCAGGATCTCATTTTTGAAACCTAGTTTAGTTGACTTAGTGATGTCAGTATGTGGAGGGTATAAAGCCATCCCCTGGCATATGCCTGCCACTCTCAAGACTGGAGCTATTGACTCTTTCTTCTTAGTAGCCATCACCTACCAAAAACTCCTTAGATAGACATGAGACTCCAACTGTCCCCCATCCATTCAGGGATTATGGCTTATATAATCTTGTGTGGATTTTGTGCATCCTCTCACAACCACCACGATGCATAGGTGTGATGATTCTGTAATGTCCCGAGAATGCTCTTCTGCCTCAGTCATCCACTACTTCTGGCTCTTACAACTATGTTGTGCAATCTCAACATGTCCTTTTATACTTTTTCCTTCCTGGAACATGCTGGTAGAATGGTTGGCTTCACTTTCCTAGGTTTTGTGACTTTGCCAAAGTCAGGACTGAATATGGATACTATTTCTCATGGAATTCTTGCAAACTGCTATTTAAGTGTTTAAACTTTGTGACAAAAGTACTATAAAACATTTGTCACACAGTTTAAGTTGGTAAATTTTATGTACACAAGTACATTTATCAACACATTACAGAATTTTTTGATTCCTTCTATGGATGAAATAATGTTCAGCTGTGTAAATTAAGATGCTTCCTATTCTGTCTAGAGGAGAATTCAGACAGAAGCCACATTACGCTTCTCAGTGCTTTTGTGAGACATTTTAGACAATACGAACATTTATGCAGCACAGATGATTGAGCATGCAGTCATCACCTCCTGGATTATTGAAAATACTTCATCAAAAAGAGACATTAAACACAGTCTGGTAAAAAGACAGTAATCAAAATTGACCTTCTCTATTTTGTCCTCCAACATAGTCATTCATTTAACAGTGTTGAGCAATGTAATTTATATATTGACTTCTTGACTAATTTATTCTTAGATAAAAGCATGAGTAGTGACACAGGGGAACACATAATGAAAGAAAGACTTTGACTCTCCAGGATGCCTGTGAAGTGGATGTCTGTTCTGCTCCTGCTGCAGATGAGTTGCTGCTTCAGATCTGGGAACTGTGGGAAGGTGTTGGTGTGGCCAATGGAGTATAGTTACTGGATGAATTTAAAGATAATACTGGAGGAATTTGCACAAAGTGGTCATGAATGACTGTTCTGAGTCCTTCATCTTCTATCTTTCTTGATCCCAAAAAAGCATCTGATATCCTATATGAAACACTTCCTACAGCTTCCAATAATGATGAAATAGAAAAGTTTTTTACCCAGTGGGTCAGTATGTGGACATATGATGTGCCAAAAGATACATATTGGAGATATTACCCATCAATGAACATAATGTTTGGGTGATTTTCTCATTTATGGTTAAACCTTTGTAGAGAAGTAGTTACAAAAAACAACTTATGGCAAAACTA